TATATATATATTATTTTGAAAATACAAACTGTAAACTTCCGGTAAAGCTGACTAACTTTAGCTGGTTTTCATGAGCGGCTTTACGAGTTTAAGGATTGTTTTTGCTCGGGAAGGCTGCTTGTTTTGTTATCCGGTGTGCTCCGTTGCAAAAACGATGGGCGGTGAGCGTGGGGACGGGTTTAAAAAAATGTCATCAAATCATTACTTTTTCGCACATTTTCAAAGAAAACGGAGCAGCAAACATTGTTTTTTTTTTTTTTAGAATATATGACAGATTGGATTAGTAAGAATGGTTTGTCTGCATTTTCTTACCCTCCTAATGACGCAAATGTTAATAAAAGCACTGTGCTTCTAGTGACATCTTCACGTTTCAACCTATTCTCTATCAAAGACATGCCCACTTTCATAAGCTCAACACAGACCATACACACTACGGCCACATGTTATTTGGTACTATAAGGTCACATATCAGATATCAACTTGAGTCGGGTGCAAAGTAATAAATGCTGAGAATACCATGATGTACAGATATAGGCTTGGCCTGTTTCCAAATCTGTGTGACACTAATCTCTTTAATAGCCTAGGGCAGATCTCCTACTATAAGCGCTGCTCAACGATTAGGAGGTCAAAGGTCTCGGGGGATTTCTCTGCCAAGCTGGAAGCTGAGTCACCTGTTCTATATTTGAGCATTAGCTTTCATCTTCAGTAAAATACATGGTTCTGTTTGTAGCTTAAAGCTGGAGACACTTATACATGCCTACAAGCAAGGGTAACCTACAGCCAGGCATTTGTATATTCTATATCCTTAATATGAAGCATGATTTTTGTCCACTAGTTCACCACTACTCAGCACTAGTTGCACATTTGGTCACTCTAGCTCAATAATCTGATGCACGACTTCAGCATTAACAATTTTTTGCCTAGTAGTACCACTTTTGCTCATCTGTTTGCAGCAGAAGTCCTACAAGTCATCTGGCCGCACTAGTAGTCCAAAACTCCTTACTAGTTGTCTTTTTAATGCACTAGTTGAACATTGTGTCATATGTTAAGTAGTAGTCATCACAAACCCTTGCATGTTACCAACACATTCTGCAAGATGCTTGTCAACTGGATTCACTAATCAACTACTGCAACCAAAAAGTTAACCAGTCAACTATGAGAGTCTAAAACGCTCGCTAGTGGACTAATTTTGGTCCCCAACTGAACAAGTGCAACTAAAATATCTACTACTCAACAAGTGTGCTCTAAAATACTGACTAGTTAATTATTAAGCTCCAAAGCATTCACTATTAAATTGATAAAATTTACTAGTTAATTAGTATCAGGCAAAATGCTCATTAGTTAGCTAGTTCAAGTTTAAGTCCTAGTGCACCTTTGACTATAGAGTGACTAAACTTAAAGAGTAGCTTACCCCAAAATTAACTTTTTTTADCTGATAAACTGTCTAGAATGTGTCTAAAATGTTATATAGTACTGTTTCTGTGCTAATTTTGATGTTTTTGTGCGTATTTGTTCAAATCTAATATTTGGTCTAAAATTGTGTTTTTGCTGCTCATATGGGTAAAGCAGTGGTACTGCAGGCTAATTTGCATATTGGTTAATGGCTCTCCTCTGTGACGTGTCTTCTCCACGGTTTCGTCACAGCGGCTGTGTTCTGGTATAAAAGCCTCTCTCTAAGACACGCCCCTGCAGCAGTCAGAGGGTGGAACAGTTAGCAAGCTTAGCATGATCGTCTGTTGACCTTCAGCCTCGGGTGGGGAGAGCTGACTGCTGCGCTGCTCTCTCTCTCTCTCTCTCTCTCTCTCTCTCTCTCTCTCTCTCTCTATACACACACACACACACACACACACACACACACACACACCAGCAGTATGTCCTGCACAGCGGGAGGGGAGGAGGGAAAAAAAGGCAGAAACACAGCAGGGCAGCTGCAGCCCTAACGGACCGAACTTCAGTCAAACAAGACCCAACACTTTTATTCCTGATTTAAACTAGTGATCTTGTGAGCAGCTGCAGCTGTATGCTTTTATTTTTTTATGTCAGGCTGTCGTGGAGTGCTCCACCTCCTCTGTCCGAGGCTGGTGTGGTGTGAGGCGGACAGAGCTCAGCCGAGGCTGCTGGAGCTGGAGCTCAAGGTCCTGACCCAGGGAGCCAACATGAGTCAGTCCCAGACTGAGCTGACTTGATCAAGTCTCTCTCTGCCTCTGGTGAGGAGGGGGGTGAAAAATCCTCCACCTCAGACCGTTCAGAGATGTAACTATCTGCATCGCTGTGGTCACTCTCCATGTAGCATCAACTATGCTAATGCTAGCTGCCTGTCACGTTCTCTCGTCCTGGCCACACCTCCGCTCTCTAACCCTCCCCCCCTCCCCTACCCACTTTGATGCATTTTTCAAATTTCGCCTTGGGGTGGAGTTATCTTTTCACAGGGAGGTAACATACACTTTAACTTTACTAGATAATTATTAACACTCACTAGTTGACTAGTTAAAGCTTTTGTGGCCTTACTAATTAACCAGTGGGCCTAAACAGGACAACTAGATGACAAGTGTGCCTAAAATATTGACTAGTTAACTCAGGGGTGTCAAACTCAGTTACACAAGTGACCAAAACTCAAAACTTGGTCCAAGCCAAGGCCAATCTCTGTTAAGGCGCTGGGATTTTTTTTTTTTAATTTTTTTTTTGGTTTTAAAATTATACAAAGCATTATATTTGGATAGAAATGCAAGTGACTTTTCTCAAAAAATATTGTATGTAACATTTAGAATATACAGAACCTAACAGAAACAAAAAATATAAAATTTAGAAAGTCACATCTTGCCTTACACCGACAAATTTTTCCGTTTATTATTCATCAGAGATACATTTTATCACAACCCAGCAAATCTGTTAAAAATTGTCACTAAAATTCCAGCAATTATCTAATTAATTATATAGTAATTAAAAGAGAAACAATAAAACTATTTTACATTAAAAACATGACCTTTAGGGCCAGAAAAAATGTTAACGAGGGCCAGATTTGGCCCATGATCCTTGAGTTTGACATGTGAGTTACCTAGCAAGCGACAAAACATTAACTAGTTTTAACACTAACTGTTACTGTTAAAAAAAAGTCTGGCACTATTAGTTGACTAGTAACACTCAAAATGCTCAAAGGTTGATCAGTTTTTATTTATTTATTTATTTATTTATTTATTTATTATTTATTTATTTATTTAGGCCTTGTTTCTTAACAGTGAACCTAAAAATGTCAACTACCGGTGTGGCTTAAATGTTGAGTAGTTAAATAGTAAGCTCCAAAGCATTCACCAGCTGACTAGCATAGATAAATCTGGACTTATTAGCTAAGTAGTAATGCCCACAATGTAGCTGATAAGTTTCAAATATTAGCTAGTACGTCTAAAAATGTCATCTAAAGGGCATAATCTGTGTTAACTTATAAGTGTTTTTGATGTTTACTAGTTCACTTGTTTGACAGATAGCACAGCAAAAAAGGTGATTAGTATGATTTCTGCTTCAACTTATTGGGTAGAAGTGGCACTGTGGTTGTGGTTCCAAGTGTGTAAATTTACAATATTTTCTGGAAAATAGCTCAGCTCTGGAAAAGTAGGAGGCATTTTACTGATGTCATAAAATAAAATCCTAAACACAGATTATATGTCAGGATGCTGTGAGCATAGCAGTGTTCACCACCCTTTGATAATCAGATTACACTTGTCCTCGGGCTTTTATTGCGTCACAGGAAGTTCTTGCTTTAACAATGGCTACGTGATCACCTTATACATCACCTGCTGGCCTTAACATGCTGCAGATCAGGCCCCAGATAAAGATTCTTTCAAACAATCTTTTCGCTGAACTGAAACAGTCAAACGTTTTTGCAAACTTCACCTATTTGCTTCCTTTTTGTTGGAAAAACTGCACAAAGATTTGCAAAGTTTAGACCAAAGCCTGGGTCCTGTAGTTAACAATGACTAAGGAAATCCTAGCGTGTTAAAGGACCACATTGGGTGTATATTTACTTTTCTTTCTGTGGGGAAGTCCTTCGGTTTTGCTTCTGGAGATTTATTGCTCAACGTAATCCCATTACTCATCTATCAGATGCCAAATCTCCTCTAATAGCATTACACGTGCCTGAGTTACGTATGATGATGCTTGCTAATGAGAGCTTAGCAGATATACTGTACCTTACTGGAACCAGTGGACCTTGGGCACAGACTAACCCCATTGTTCTATGGCTTAATGGACTCAGCATTGAGTGTCGAGGGAAGTCAAATTTATTATCAAAGTG